GAATTTCCTTTTCTATCACCTGGTCTAGGCAGCATCCAGCATATCTTTCAACATCTACTGTAGAAAAGGAGACTTTTCGATTATTATTAGCCCATCAATATTTTGAAATCTACTTTAACCATGACAGCAACAATACAATAATCTATATTGACCATAATACACTGGTATTCATTGAAAAGTTTAAATTCAAAGTGCCAGACTCTCTAGATAATGTCTATTGTTTCAACCATTCAATGGAAAGATTATTCATATCGCTGAAAAAGATAACGCCTCAGGATCATAGAATCAAAGAATTGTTGTGGCGCAGAAGGAGGCTGTTCAGTCCATTATGCTTGCACCAGTCCTATGACCTATTGCCAATCTCCTGCCTTTTCCATCTCCCTGCACACCTTTACTATCTAAATAATCATCTAATGCTGTCTTGGAAGCCTCATTTGAACCTGCTCCATCATATTTCCAGGCAGTGGATTCCATATCTGAGCTATCCACTAATATGATCACAAATGTATAGTTCCAAGTGTAAAATGATGGAATAAGTTAAAGGTTTAAGAAATGCTGAAACATTGCATAAGATTGGATAAGGGGGTAGGAAGGATGAATGAATGTGAGTCTCTTGTTTTGCTGTTTATGTGTCATATATCTTGAGATGAAATGCATTTCTGAAATTTTTTTTTCCTTTATTCAGTGGGATGGCATGGTGGCTCAGTGGTTAGCACTGCTGCCTCACAGCATCAGGGACCCAGGTTCGATTCCACCCTTGGGTGACTGTCTGTGTGGAGTTTGCACATTCTCCCTGTATCTGCGTGGGTTTCCTCCGGGTGTTCCAGTTTCCTCCCACAGTCTGAAGATGTGCAGGCTAGGTGAATTGGCCATGCTAAATTGCCTGTAGTATTCAGGGATTTCTAGATTAGGTGGATTATATGGGGATGGGTTTGGGTGGGAGGCTCTGAGGGTTGGTGTGGACTTGTTGGGCCGAAGGGCCTGTTCCCACACTAGGGATTCTATGAATTCGTTTATAGGATGAGGGCGTTGCTGGCTAGGCAGCATTTATTGCCTACCCCTAATTGCCCAGCAGGCAGTTAAGAGTCAACCACATTGCTGTGGGTCTGGAATCACATATAGGCCAGACCAGGTAAGGATGGCAGTTTCTTCCCTAAAGGACATTAGTGAGCCAACAATCGACAATGGGTTCACGGTCATCATTAGACTGTTAATTCCAGAGATTTATTGAATTCAAATTCCACCATCTACTGTGGCGGGATTCGAACCCAAACGTTTTCTGGGTCTCTGGATTAATAGTCCAGTGATAATACCACTAGGCAATGACCTTCCCCTTAATCTGTTGTTTAATCTTTTGTAAAGGTGGTGGCATATAAAGATCACACCTCTTTATTCTTCCTTGTTTTGGCTTGTGGATCAAAATTGGAGAAAAGACTGTTTTAAATCAAGGGCTGTGGACGTAGATGCTGGACTTATAAAAACAAGTTACTAGAACTCATTGTGAGTTGTGTTTGTACTGTTGCTTTGTTCAAGCACGGGGGGAAGATGTTTGAAACTCAATGTCATCATTAACTCAACATTGACCCTCTAGAAACTGAGACTGGGAAATTATAGTGGGGAACCAGGAAAAGGAGGAGTAGCTGAATAAATACTTTAAATCGGTTTTCATGGTACAAGACAATAATAGTATGCCAAAAATGCTAAATTAGTAAGGGGAAAGGAAAGATTTACAATCACTATCATTAGAAAAAAATACAAAGGAAAATAATGGGGCTAAAGACCAATTAATCCCCTGGATCTGATGACTTATAGCCAAGTACACTAAAGGAAGTAGTTACAAAGATAAAGGATGCACTGATCGTAATCTTTCAAGAACTCCTAGATTCTTTAAAAATTTTGGAGGATTGGAAGACTCCAGCTAGCCTCTCTTCATAACTGAATCACTCCAACCTAGGCAATATCCTGGTGAATCTCCTCTGTAGCTTCTCTAGAGCAATCTTTGCAGCACGGAGACCAGAACTGCACATAGTACTCCAGCTGGGGCATTATATATATTATATAACTAACATAATAGCTCCATCATAACCTCCTTGCACTTGTATTCAGTGCCTTAATTAATAAAGGCAAGTATCCTATATGCCTTCTTAACAACCTTATCTACCTGCCCAGGTGCCGTCAAGGATCTATGGATATACACACCAAGGTCCCTCTCATCCTCTATACATCCCAGCATACTACTTTTCAATTAGTCCTCCCAAAATACATCACCTCACACCTTTCAGAATTGAATTTCATTTCCCACTGTTCAGCCCATTTGACCAGCCATTTCAGGCTTTCCTCCTCACTTTTTGAAAACACCACTAATTTTCATGTCATTCATGAACTTATTGATCATATTTCTTACATTCATGTCTAGATCATTAATGTACACAACAAACAGTAAAGAACCCAGCACCGGACCCTGTGGTATGCCACTGGACATAGGCATTCAGTCACAAAAACACCCTTTGACCATCACCCTCTGACCCTAAACCAATTTTGGATCCAATTTGACAAATTTCCGTGAAACCCATACATGGTTACATTCTTAACCAGCCTGCCACAGAATACTTCATCAAAAGCCTTACTGAAGTCCATCAGCATCAACTTTATTACCCTTATCTACACACCTAGTTCACTCAGAAAATTCAATCAAATTTGTTAGACATGACATCTGCCTTAGAAAGCCATATTGCCTATCATTGATTAACCCTTACCTCTCCACTGGAAAGTAATTCTGCTTCTCAGAATTTTAATATCTTCTTGCATGATGTCTACTGATGAAGCATATATTCCCAGGTGCTGTCTATTGATGGAGAATGTATTCCTGGGTGCTATCTATTTACGGGGTGTCTGTTCCCGGGTGCTGTCTGTTGATGGGGTGTGTGTTCCCGGGTGCTGTCTATTGATGGGATGTGTGTTCCCGGGTGCTGTCTGTTGATGGGATGTGTTTTCCGAGGTGCTGTCTGTTGATGGGGTGTGTGTTCCCGGGTGCTGTCTGTTGATGGGGTGTGTGTTCCCGGGTGCTGTCTATTGATGGGATGTGTGTTCCCGGGTGCTGTCTATTGATGGGATGTGTGTTCCCGGGTGTTGTCTATTGATGGGATGTTTGCTCCCTGGTTCTGTCTTTTGATGAGGTGTGTGTTTCCGGGTGCTGTCTATTGACAGAGCGTGTGCTCCCAGTTGCTGTCTATTGATGGGGTGTGTGTTCCTGGATGCTGACTATTGATGGACTGTGTGTTTCCGGGCGCTGTCTGTTGACAGAGCGTGTGCTCCCAGTTGCTGTCTATTGATGTTGTGCAGGTTCCCAATTGCTGCCTATTGATGGAATGTGTATTCTTGGGTGCTGTCTATTGTTGGGTGTGAGCTCCCAGGTGCTGTCAATTATTGGAATGTGTGTTCCTGGGTGAACATAAACATACAGCAGTACAGCACAGGAACAGGCCCTTTGGCCCACCATGATGGTATTCTAAACTAATGCCATATGCTTGCCCGTAGTCCATATCCTTCTATTCCCTACCTGTTTGTGTGTCTGTCTAAATGCTTCTTAAACTTTGCAAATGTATCTGCCTCTACCACCTCTCCTGGCTACATGTTCCAGGCACCCACGACCCTCACTGTAAAAATATTTTTCTTACACATCTTTAAACTTGCCCCCTCTCAACTTAAATCTATGACCCCTAGTATTTAACATTTCCAACCTGGGAAAGAGACTCCAATTATTCATGTCTGTCATAATTTTAGATACTCAGCCTCCGACATTCTCATGAAAACAATCCTTATAACTCTCCTTATTGCTAATACATTCCAATCCAGTTAACATCTAGGCAAAGCTCTTTTGCACCTTCTCCATAGCCTTCACATCCTTCCTGTTGTGTGGTGATTAGGACTGCACACCATACTCCAAATGTAGCCTAACTAAATTCTAATACAGCTGCAATGTGACTTGCCTACTTTTATACTCAATGCCCCAACCAATGAAGGCTCGCATGCCATACACCTTCTTTACCACCTAAGGGTCAGGTCAGTTACAGTTTACTATCTATTGGCTGTCTGTTGATGGGGTGTGTGTTTCTGCGATTCTCTATTCAAGACTGAGATTGATAACTTTAGACTGAAGGGAAATAGGGAGAGCAGTAGAAATTCGAATTGATGGCCATGATCTTTCCAAACGATGGAGCAGGACTGTGTATACCCATGTCCGTTTCTCACGGCCTCATGATGGAATCTTTCAATCCAACTAAGAGGACAGACAGGGCCATCTTTTTAATCTCATATCCAAATGATAGCTCCTCTCACAATGCTTCATCTGTACTTGTTCATCTGTCGGTGTGATCTTTGCAAGTTTTTGAGATGTACATTTAAGTCAAGATGTAACCTGTTATCCCAAAGGTAAACCCCAGTGGTTTGGGAGCTAAAATTAAAATGAGGAATTGCAATTTTAAAGCCAGCCTCCTTCATCCTCTCTGCAAATAACTCTGTTTTGTCTGTGGCAAAAGCTGAAGTGCTGGGTTTATTTGCACATTTACTGGTGTTTTTGAAAGGATCACACCTTCAGTGAAGTTTGATAAAGCTTTGCCACACTGCAGACAGAGGCAGCTTTACAGCCTTCAGAGCCTGTAATTTACGGCACAGATACTGAGGGAACCTGGGGCTGGAACGCACAAGTGAGAATGTAACCTCAGTCCCACTCCCAAGCACATTGCTTCACCAAGGAACAGTAGAAACAAAGAGGCCCCTCTCCTTAATTATTCATCAAACAGGACTGGTTTGCAGAAACACAGATCAAAAACATTTGCAGTTCTGCAGTTCCCCAAATCCAAACTAAACAGGAAAATGAACCAACCAACAAAATAAGCTACTCTCCCCACACGCACTGTGAAAATACATTGAAATGGATAGATTGTAATTGAATCCGCACATTATTATACTGCCCAACATAGAGTCCCTGTTTCACTTACCTACAAACTATCCATGCACGGCAAGGATCAGTTTAGCTGTCCTCCCCGTCTCTTTAATTTCTCTGAGACAATGTTAGCTCCACCCTGTGCCAGGAACTAACAGATAAGTTCCTCATTTCCATCAGAGGGCAGTTTTTATTTAAATTAATTTGTATTTACATATCCAGTGCTGCCCCCTTCTGTTTGCTGTCTCTCTGTAGCTAGTGCCTCCAGATATTTACCTAAGCAACCTGTTCAAAGGTGTTATGACACATCTCTTGAGTGGGTGGGACTTGAACCCATGCATCCTGGCCCAGAGGTAAGGACACTATCACTGCACCACAAAAGCCTTCACAAACTGGTACCTGCAAACTGATCACTCGTTTTCGTGCTAGAGGTAACCTGAGGTAGCATTGAAACAGAAGGTAAATTATCTTTGATGTCATCACAACAGGCATAAAAGGCGGAAGCTTTTCCAAAGAGCAGACACCTTTATAATGGGAGATAACAAGGTGTAGAGCTGGATGAACACAGCAGGCCAAGCAGCATCATAGGAGCAGGAAGGTTGACGTTTTGGGCCTAGACCCTTCATCAGACACCAGCCTTCCTGCTCCTATGATGCTGCTTGGCCTGCTGTGTTCATCCAGCTCTACACCTTGTTATCTCAGATTCTCCAGCATCTGCAGTTCCTACTATCTCTGATACAATTACCACCTTTACAGTGGAAAGGTTAACATGAAATTTTGGTGTACAATTCCATAGATGCCTGAAGGTGTGAGCACAGGTAGACACGGCACATCAATAGCTGCCTTCATTAGCCTGGGTGTCGAATATAGGAGCAAAAAAATCTTGTAACAACTTTGTAAAACATTGGGTAGGCCACAGATGAATATGTGCAGTTCTGGTCATCACATAATCCAAAGGATGTGATTGCACTGGAAGGGGTGCAGACAAGATTCACCAGGATGTTGCCTAGGATGGAAGGTCTCACTTATGCTGAGAGACTGGATAAGGTAAGATATCACACGACGCTAGGTTATAGTCCAACAGATTTATTTGAAAACGCAAGCTTTCAGAGCTTCACTCCTTCTTCAGGTGTTAGTGAGAGAAGTAGTATCAGACACAGAATTTATAACATGCATTTATAACCTAGCATGCATTGTCTGACCTAGAATGTCACCTCTTATTTACAGTGATAAAACCTTTAGTTCTCTCAGGACAGTGACTTGAAAGGGATTCAGGAATTTACATACACATATTAATCAATGAAAACCTTCCAACTGATTAAAGATTTAACAGCATCTTAGGCTTGGTTAAATAAAGCATATATATACATTACATAATATGTAAAGTGTTGTGACACTTTGATCTTTTACTTATAAATTCTGTTTGATACTACCGCTGTCAGTAACACCTGAAGAAAGAGCGAAACTCTGAAAGCTTGTGTTTTCAAACAAACCTCTTGGACTATAATCTGGTGTCATGTGATTTCTGACCTTATCCACCCCAGTCCAACACCAGCACCTCCACATCAGAGAGACTGGATGAGCTGGCCTTGTTTTCCTTGGAGCAGAGGAAGCTGAAGGGAGAATCTGATTGAGGTAAATAAAACCATGAGAGTCATAGGTAGTGTAGATCGTGAGAATCCTTGTCCCATGGCAGATGTGTCTAAGACCAGAGGACAAAAGTTTAAGGTGAGAAGTAAGCAGTTTAGAATGGATCTAAGGAATTTTTTTCATTTAGAGGATGACTCCCATAGATATCTGGACTATACATCCTCACACCCCACTTCCTGTGAGAACACCATTCAATTCTCCCAGCTTAGCTGTCTCTGTCCCATCTGTTCTGATGATGCCAGCTTTCACAGGGCCTCAGAAAGGTCGACCTTTTTCCACAACCAAGAGCTCCCCACCAGGGTGGTTGACAGGGACCTTAGCTGTGTTCAACTAATCTCCTGCATTTCTGCCGTCACTCCTTCTCTTCTCTCCCATAACAATGATAAGCTCCCCATGGTCTTTGCTTACCATCCCACCAGACTTTGCATCCCAACTGATCATTAGCTGCTGTTTCTGCCAACTCCAGGAGGACACCATGACCAGACACATTCCCTTGTCAGCCTTCCACAGGGACCGTACCCTCCCTGACATTCTGGTCAACTCTTCCTCAACTCCCAGTATCTCCTCACATCCCAATGGCACCTTCCCATGCAACCGCAGAAGGTGTAACACATGCCCATTTACTTCTTCCTTCCTCACTATCCAAGGTCCCAGACACACCTTCCAAGTAAAGCAGCGATTTACCTGGACTTCATTCAATCTAGTCTCCTGCATTCACTGCTCACAATGTTTCTCCTCTTCATTGGGAGGATAAAATGTAGGCTGAGTGACCACTTTGCAGGACACCTACGCTCTGTCCGTAAGAATGATCCTGAGCTTCCAGTTGCCTGCCACATCAACACATCACCGTGTTCCCATGCCAACATTTCTGTCACAGGCCTGCTGCAGTGTTCCAGCAAGCCTCAGTGCAAGCTTGAAGAACAACATCTCGTTTTCCACTTGGGGATCCTGCAGCCTCTATGACACAATATTGAGTTCAATAACTTTAGAGTCTGATTCCATCCTTCCATGTATTTTACCCACCTCACATCAGACCTATTGTGACATTGGTTGCTTTTAGCACCGTCACTCATTCCCATGTACTCCTCGGCCTATTGTCACATTATATGGTATACTGTCAGTACAGTTCACCTATTCTCTCCTCCTCTTAGGTCTTATTTCACTTATTCAGCTTTTCTTCTGTCCAGGCCTGCTATCCATAACCTTCTTGTTTACCTACCCTTTCACATCTCTTTCTCTCTCTCTCTGTCTCTCTGGGCTCCATATCCATCTATCTGCTCACCTCTGCCCTTCCATCTCCCCATCCCTCCATTCCTAACCTCATCTTCAGCATAAATATTACTTTGTCTGAACTGCTAACAATTTTCCAAATGGGTCACCAAACTTGAAATGTTAAGTCTGCTTTCTTCCCACAGATGCTGCTAGACGTACAATGTGTTTATATTTCAGATCTCCAGCATCCGCAGTTCTTTGCTTTATTTTTTGGTGAATATGGAACATGTTGCCTGGTAGGGTGGTGGAGACAGATACACTCACAATATTTAAAAACCATCCAGACGAGCATTTAAAATGCTAGAATGTATAAGGCTATGGATCAAGTGAATGTATCTGAGATTAGTGTAGTTTGGTATTTTTTGGATGACCTGGACATGGTGGGCCGAAGGGCCTGTTTCTATGCTGTATAATGCTATGACTATGAAGTGGTGATTGTGGGTTCAGAAGGCAGGAACAAGTTTAACATCTCTTCATTGAGAATCTGGTAACACTACCTGTGAATTAGAAGCTAGCATTATAGCAGCAGCTGGTTGTTCCAACCTCATAACGTCCAGGTCAGAAGTTTAGGGTCAGAACCTAATCCAGAAATGTGAGTACCAAAATCGAGTCCAGAGTGAGTGGCTTACCTGCGACAGTTTGGAGAAGTGGAACATGTCTATTCAGTGCACAATTAAGCTTCAAACTAATCTGATTCTTGTTATTTTAATGTCAGTGACCTCCCTGTCCTTGATCACCTATATTATACTAATGAAGTTCCACATAAGCTTAAGGAACAACACTTCATTCTAAATTTGGTGCCTAATAGTCCTTCAGACTTCTTTTGAGTTCAACAATTTCAGATTGCAACCATTGTCACCAGCCGGAATGTTTGTACTGTTACATTGACACTCCCTCTAGATTTATTAGATTTGTCTCAAGATCCTGCCTTGCACGATCATCCCTTATTGACTCCAGCCTTCTGAGTTTAGACCTTCCGTTTTGGTCTTTCTTCTACTTGTGATCTCTCATTCTTAAATCACTTGTCATGACTCACTGATTCAGTGTGCTGGAAATTAACACCCATTATTCCTGGAGTCATCATAAAAGTTAAAGATCTTTAAAAACTTCACAAAGTTCCCCAATTTACCTAATTTTCAGACTCAGGTTAACAGAAAGCATGCATCAGGTTTCTGTACTGAACAAAAAATATTATTTATTGCAGATAATTAAATTCTGGGTACAGGTAATCATTATAAGCTGTCAGCACATAACTCTACTAATTAATATTCCAAACCCTCTATTAACTCCCCCTTACACTCACACACTGACAGACTGAGACAGAAAAAAATATAGAGTGAAGGACTGGGAAGGTAGTTCAGTGATCCCTGATAACAGAAAAGATTCAACTGAAAAAAAATCTTTTGTTTCTTATGCAGGTCAGAACATTGCTTCTCAGTCTTCCTTCTCCAGATGCTTTCACCATTTGCAGGAAGTACAGTGGCTTGTCCATACTTATAAAAGGTCTCTGACTTATTAATTGAAAGCCACAGTGAACAGCAAATGCTCCAGGCTTAATTTTATTTCAGAGAACAGAGGGAGCTCCTGAGCTGGTGAAGACCTGAAAGCCTTTCTCTGTATCTTTTTCAGCAACTAGAGATCCAATCAAATAGTTGTTGGCAAGCAGTTGTTGTCATTGATAACTAGTCACTAGTCACAGATAGATTCATACGGCGCAGAAAAGGCCCTTCAGCCCATCAAGTCTGTACTGACAAAACTACCACGAAAAGTGTACTAATCCTAATTTCCCGCACTTGACCCAAAGCTCTGAATATTATGATATCTCAAGTCCTGATCCAAATTTGTTTTAAAGGTTTCCAGCCTCCACAACCTTCTGAGGCAGTGCATTCCAGATTCTCACCAATTATCCACAGACCAATCAATTTATTGTTGCCAACCAAACACTATTTGTATAGTACCTTCAATCCCAATTTATCTCAAACTACACTTCAATTACTGCTAGATCCAGAGGCTATGTGGTTCAGTGTTTACAATCATAGAATCCCTACAGTGTGGAAACAGGCCCTTTGGCCTAACAAGTCCACACCAAACCTCAGTGCATGCCACCCAGACCCATCCCCCTGTAACCCACCTAATCTACACATCCTTGGACACAATGGGCAATTTAACATGGCCAATTCACCTAACCTGCAC